AAACATACACACACACATACATACACACACACAGACAGGGTCGTCCCAATATGCGTTTTTGCAATTGGCATATAGGCAAAAACGCATAATTAGAAATTGATACTATAATTGCAATCTCACATTTCGCTGTAAAATGAAATACATTGGACAAAAACAAATGCCTTCACCTCACCTCACTGACAACCGACTGGCGCTCTCTAAACTTCGGGAAAAGGATTGGCTCTAAGGACTGGGCCGGCCGAGCAGCAGTGTGAAGTGAATACGTTTGATCCATGTAATGCAACCCTTGGTGAAATAGACAGGTGAAGCTTCTAGTTGTCTTAGACAAAAAATGACTTCCAAGGAGATAGCGCGGGTGCACGATGAAGCGCGCATTACAGGAGACTCCAGCATAACCACACTAAGCTGATGACTGATCTCAGGTATACGAAAAACTCTGCATCAAGTGCCCAAGTAGTTTTGTAAAAGGGCAGCAGGCGCTTATCCGTGATTCGAGTAGTAACTTTCTGACTACCGTTAGTAAAACTACCGCTGATCTGCGTGATATGCATCTCAGAAGTCGCAAAATCGAGCTTTTAATTTGAAAAGATCGATAATTCAAGATGTCCGTTGCTTTCGCATTCAACTTCGTTAAGCCGGCGAATATTAAATGAACGCACACTTTTAGAATATATCGTCATTTTCAGAATTAATCTGGACGAGGAAACGGGTTAATTACTGTATATAGTAAAACATAAAGCTGTATGCAAACCCAGGCAAAAAAGCGTCAGGCTTGCCTGTGCGACCATTTGTTTTTGCATTAGACTTGAAGTACTCAGGTGGCTATATGTATCATTGTTTGCTGCTTTACATTTACACTGTGCGTTCACTAGCGTAAATCATCATAAATTTTGCATAAAGGAAATGAAACAAATTCCGTACAACGGTTGTCTTTTGAAGATAACCTAACTGTTCAGTGAGCAGTTTTCCCGACAAAAATTTTGAGCACTCATACCTGAAAACCGAACGCACCTGGAGGTCGGTTTGAAACATTTAAGTTATACTTGGACAGGAAACATTCCGTTAAAATTGCAGCCTTCCACCTTTTCTGGTTGCCGAATTAGCAATACTTCTATTAGAAATTTCGCGTGCCCGTGCCAGAGTGACCCAAGTACCTGGAGGACTAAATTTTAAAATCTTAAACTGATTACGTTGACGGGAGGGGCATCCCCTTAAAATTCCAGCCTCCCAGCTTTTCCGGTTCTCGAGTTAGCAATTTCCCTGCAAAATTTTCACACTCCCGTGCGTGAGAACGGTACACGCCTGAAAGCTGAGTTTTGAACCTTTTAGTTTTACATTGATGAGGAATATCCCTTTAAAATTTCAACTTTCCAGCTTCTCTGGTTCCGGAATTAAAAGTTTTTCAGTGAAGGCTTCCACGAGCTTGTAAGTGAGTACCACTCGTGCTCGAGGCTGAATTCGAGTTCTTTACGTTGTACTTGGACGGGGAACATCCCTTCAAAATTTCAGCCGTCCAGCTTC